GTAATCTTTTGCATGCAAATGTTGAATGGGAACTCAAAGTTCGAATCTTTTGTTTGAAATTGTCTGGGTTTGGTTAAATTTTCGGATTAATCTGAGCTCTGTTTTTACTCTGTGTGAAGTGTGAACTGTGAGGAAGATGATTCAGGTTTAAACTTTGAAGTTGGGGACTTTTTAGTTCTGAGCTCTGAATTATACACTTTTACTGTGCAGGTTTTACCCTAATCAGAACTAAATTCCATTGATAACTTGATATGAAGGTCCATTGAGTAGTGGTTATTGAGTAAAATTTAGAAAAAATGAGTTACATAGCGACGTTTGGTAAAGATAATAGCGCCTGTGATGGCGGAAATTCTGCTGAAGGTTCGGGTTCAAGTAAAGGACCTGATGAAGTATCCAATGATTTTGATCATGAAATTGCTCAACTTACTAAGCATAAATCAAGACCCCATCAACTTTTGAGCGGGGATATGCCTTGGAAGTTGAGGTTACCGGTTTCAACAATGAAAATGCTGGTCGGTCGCGAAATTCAGGGCGGGGGAGGTTCTCATCGGCAGATTGTTGCCATGTTTTGAGCCGGTATCTGCCCGTAAATGGTCCTTGGGGGGTGGACCAGTCCAGAAGCCCTGCTTATGTTTCTCAATTTTCCAATGATGGTTTGTTTTTTGTTGCTGGATTTCAGGTATTGTAATTTATTAGCTTAATGTTATAATTCATTTTTATTGTTGTGATTTTGAATTGTTGTACTTAAAATTCAATTTCCCACTATGCATGCACACAAGTGCAGTTTTGAAGTCCTAATTTTCTTCTTCTTTTAACAAAACAGGGAGGCCATATTAGAATATATAATGTTGAAAAGGGATGGAAAGTTCAGAAGGATATCCTCACCAAAAGCTTGAGATGGACAATTACCGATACGTCTCTATCACCGGACCAACGTTATCTTGTGAGTTTCTGATGTTTTGTTGAATAAGAAGAAGCTTGTCTATATAATTACGACTTTACAATCTGAACTTATTCTTCCTTGATGATATACACATAAATGTAAATACTGCATGGTCCTGATAGTTCCGAACCCATATTTATCTTAATGCGTGTTTTGACTGCCAATGGAGCCTCATTTATAATTGTCATCTTTTGTAGTGATTTTACTTTTTCTTAGTTTCTTAACTTAATCGGTCACACTTCTAATTTGATAAAAATACAGGTTTATGCTAGCATGACACCTGTTGTCAATATTGTGAATGTGGAATCTTCTAAGACAGAGTCACTTGCAAACGTTACGGTATGTGAAACTAATGGTCCTTTCAGTGCTACTAGCTTTGAGTATCATATGAAATAGCTCGTAGATACGAGTTTAATTCGTTCATCTACAGCTTTGGTAATCAACAATGTTCCTGGGGATTCTTTTTTAATTAACCTATATTGTTTTTCAGCATAATCTTGTATGAATCCTTGTTATCATCTTTTAAAGTAGATATCTTTCTCAATGTTACAAGATCTGGAAGATGTTTATCCGAAATTAGCTAGGGATAATTGTCTTGGATGATCTGTTAAGGGTGATGGTATCTGAATTGTAGTATATGCTACCATCTGTTGAATCTCAAGGTGGAGATCTTCTGGTAAAGGAAAAAGGAAGTATCCAATTTGATGATGTTTTTGTTTCTAAATTATTGTTTTTTCTGGATAATCTGTTGTGGCATATTGATGGCTTCAGAAGATGTTACAGCTCACCCTATAATGCTCATTATAACTTGAATTCGTACTTTTTGGAGTTTACATTTTTACTAATCAATTGATTATTCACTTCTAAGTCGGTTGCTTTTCTATTATGATTGCTACAAAGAGTCACTTTCAAGTTCGTACTGTTTTTTTACATAAAAAATTGCCTTTTATTCAGGAAATTCATGAAGGTCTAGATTTTTCTTTTGAAGACGATGAGGATGAGTTTGGAATTTTCTCAGTTAAATTTTCAACGGATGGGCGAGAGCTTGTAGCTGCAAGTAGTGATGCTTCAATATATGTTTATGATCTACAAGAAAATAAAGTTAGCCACCAAATACCAGCACACCAGGTAAAGGATCTAACAAAAGAATATACTCAAATTACTTCTTGATGGTGGTTTTGAAGAAGAGTTTTATTTACATATAATTTTGAAGACACAGATTCTCCCATACTGGTTCCTTCCTCTGGAGACTCTGGATGGCACTTAAAAGCATCATTTGGTCATTTTATTCATCCTCTGTTGCAGTCTGATGTAAACACTGTATGCTTTGCTGATGAGAGTGGCCATCTCATATATTCTGGCAATGACGACAACCTCTGTAAGCTAAGGTTCATCTCTGGTCTTTATATGGTGTAAGATGGAGAAACCATGATTGCTTCATTGTTTGGTACTCTTTTTTTCATTTTTTAAACTCTGGTTATGAACGATTTGTTATTGTAGTCGCTGAAATGTCACTATTAAAAACTGTGACGTTATGAACGATTTGTTCTTTGCTAGAGTTGCTCAAATCTCAAGATTCAGTACAGCCTCAAATCCTAGTAATGGGATGCTTTTCTTTTTTATGTTGTCATATCTCTCTCGTGGGTTGGGGTTAAGTGCCTCATAAGTTCTTTACTATTGAGCTATGAAGTCCCCATGAAGTTTAGGCCTATCTATTTCTTGCACAGGTGTGGGATAGACGCTGCTTAATGACGAAAGGAAAAGCAGCTGGGGTCCTGATGGTACATCTTGAAGGTGTTACATTTATTGATAGTCGGGGAGATGGGCGCTACTTGATATCAAACAGGAAGGACCAGACTACCAAACTCTGGCATATAAGAAAGATGTCCTCTAGAGCCGTTTAGTACGTCTGCGTTACTTGTTTCCCTTTTCTGCTCATGTTAACTTATTGGCCTTCCGTTTGGTGCTGTAGAAATATGAAATTTACTGCTGTCAGCATGTGACAAGTTGACTTAATTTTACTTACTGTCCTCCCATTATTTTGACTCTATACTATTTTGTAGTGTGGAAAATAGTTTTGTGGTATTTGGGCTTAGAATAATGTGGTTAAATTGATGTTTCATGCTTCAAGTTTATATGGTCTAAAATACCGGGGAACAGAGGACTATTTTGGGTTTAATCTCAACGTCAATTATAGTAACCATTTATCATATTAAAGCAGCTTTGTGAGATCAAGCGAGTACAGCAGCTTCTATTATTAGGGCGTGCTGGGATATCTCTTATTTTTGTTGAACCATTCTATTTGTACCATATTAAAGCATGCAGTTCATGGATCTTAATTTGAATTTTGAACCCGTCTGCTCGTGCTTGTCTGTGTTCACATTCTTGTCGAATGACTTTTGTTATTTAGGTACTGGCTCAGAGCCTAAAGTCTAGACCCTTTCTTGGTTCAACGTAATATTTTTTTGGCCACTGATTTTCAACTTTCCAACCAGCAGCCCAAGGCGTACATATCGTGACTGGGATTACAGGTGGATGGAGTACCCAGCTCATGCCACAACTTTGAAACATCCCAATCATCAATCCTTGGCTACATATAGAGGCCATGCAGTCCTGTGCACTTTTATTCGCTGTTACTTTTCTCCAGCATATAGGTAATTTTTATTTCTTTCTTATAATCCTGTATTTAGGAGCTAACGGAAGACTTGGTGCAAAACTGACCGCAGTGGTATTCTAGGATTCATACAGCCAACCCCACTTAGTGGGATAAGGCTCCGTTGTTGTTGTTGTATTCTAATCCTGTATTTAGAATTTGTCTTTAAAACATTGTGCGAATTCAAAGATGCTGGAGTACATGTTTGTTTCAATTCCTGCTTTCACAGTTATGTTCTGGTCTTGGTTCTTCATTATGTTTGATCCCAGAGTTCTGCCAAGTCCATATATTAGATTATGTTAGCCCTAGGGAAGTTGGTCGAGTAAAACAGCTGGAATGGATTCAACCCGCAATCTTGTTAGCTATTGTTTTGGTTTTAAGGCTTCTGGTTTTTCTGATAATATCATACAATCAGTAGGCTGTGTTGACCGTTGTTTAGGTGTATTGTATATGTTTCTAATTTCTATCCTGCTTATTGCAGTACCGGACAGAAGTACATCTACACTGGCTCAAGTGATCATTCTGTCTATATATATGATCTGGTACATAACTGACCTTTTATGTTTCTTGTCATCAAGACCATGTTTTTCTCATGTCATTCTGTTAAGGAAAACGTAATGGGATGATTCCGCCATCTTGTTTCATATTCATTTCTACCAACCGTAAAAAGGATGTTGATACATAATTGGTTCGTCTTTCCGATTAGTTAGGAAAAAAATAAAGATGCTTTGAAAAGTAAATGATGGTACGAGGTTTCTTGTAGGAAAGCAAGAATCGTGGTTGGCAGTCCTTAATGAAATTAACACTTTCTTTAAAAAGTTTCGTAACTTAGGCCTGTAGGCTTGTTATTACTATGAAGGCCAGTAAAACCGGCCATCATGCTCGCTTCAAAATGCTATATCTTGAGAATGTGGTATTCGACCTCTAGTAATTTGTTTGTTTTGTTCTATAAAGGTGATTGGTGCTCAAGTTGCGAAACTAGACCATCATGAAGGACCTGTAAGAGACTCTAGTTGGCATCCTCTATATCCCATTTTGGTCAGCTCTTCTTGGGATGGGACCGTTGCCCAATGGGAATTTCCTGGTGATGACCAAGTTCCTACCCTGATGAGGCAGAAATTACGCCGGAGGAGAGTCTTCTACTGAGGAAGGCTCATTGTTTTGCGCTTCACAAGATGATAGTATTCAAACTGGTTTTTCATACATTCTGTAACGTTATACTGCATTTTTTAAAGAAAGTCTGCAGTAAGTAGAGAGAAATTATAGGTTCTTGGCAGCTTTTAACGCATGTAAATTATGTAATCTTATGCATTCAGAATCGAAACATTGTATAAAGTTTCACTCATATAGAAACGTTATCTGAAAACGTAATCTTTTTACATTTTTACAAGTTAACGCAATTGGTTAACAATATTCGGTACTATGACATGCATGAATTTCGGTTTCACTACAAGTTATACTGCCAAACAGAATGTTCATGACGCAGCTAACCCCTTCTCCAGTTCGTCCCTTCAGAACCTCACCCACGGCCTCCTCGTCCGGCACAAATCCCTTGCTTTTCATTACCCGTAAAAACTCACTCCCGTCCTCTAACGCCCTGTCCCCTTGCCTCGCGAAGCCCTCAAAAACTGCGGTGTAGGTAGCAGCATTGGGATGCATCCCCTTCTCCATCATATCCAGCAAGTACTTCTTGGCATCCCCAAAGAAGTTGGGGTCAGTAGCAAGTGCCTTGATGAAGACACTATAAGTGTAGCAGTTCGGCATAACCCCAACCGCCGACATGCGTTGATAGGCCTCAAGAGCACCCTTAATCTTGCCGGCAGTTGCATAGGCTTCAATGACAGCGGTGTGGGTGACAATGGCGGGTAGTACGCCTGTGTCAAAGAACAGCTCAAAGAGCTCCTTGACCTCATCCTTAAAGCCGTCATCTACCATACCTTCGACCATATCCATTATATGTTTCCTGAAGAAGGTTTTTCGCATCTCCTCATCAGTTGTTTTGGTGGCATAGTTGGACATCCTATATGCATCGAATGCCTCTTCAAGGTGTTTGTGGTATTCAAAGTACTTTTGATTTTCAAGATCAAACCCCTTATGTTTAATTTGCTTCACAAACTCCCTGCCCTCCGCCACCACCTTCTCCTTATCGTCCAACTGGCAGGCAATGGCCTCCATCACGTAGGTGTAGGCAGGGGAATCAGGCTCCATTCCTTTGTCAAGCATTTGCAGAAAGTACTTCTTGGCATACTTAACGGCAACGGGGTCTGGTTTCTGGAAAGCGAGTCTCTTGATGACCATATTGTATGTTTCAGCCTTAACGGGGATCTCACATTCTAACCTGTGTAAGATTTCTTGTATGTCTTCCAGGTCTTCTTCTTCTTTGCCTGATAATGTAATGGAAGGAGAAACAAAAAACTTCAGTGCTTCAACTATATTCTCTCGAAATATCAAAATCGATTGCTAACTACCGAGCATGGCGATCAATCAATATTGCAAGAAAACTAAACAAACATTTGGTGTACTTACCAGTATTCTTGTAGCAGATTTGTGACCCCCTAGCGCTCACTGCCTTAGCAAACTCCATGTACTCATTGTCCTCTGAATCAGCTCCCTTGGTCACGGCTTTGAGAGTATCGTCATTGGGCCATGTTCCGTTATCCATCATCTCAAGAAAGTATTTCCTGGCATCCTGAATGAAATCCGGGTCAGCAGCCAGTGCCTGGATGAGAATGCTGTAAGTATATAAATTGGGTTTGATCCCATTGGCCAACATGTGCTTGTAAGCCTTGAGAGCACCCTCAGCCTTCCCAGCATTGGCGTAGGCCTCAATCACGACAGTGTGGATGACCACGTCGGGCAGTATGCCCTTCTCCCTGGTTTGTTTAAAGATCTCATTGGCTTAATCAACCTGGCCGTCCTTTACCAGACCATGGTACATCCTCAATGCATCTTTCCTAATCGAAGTGGAGCGCATCTTTTCGAACATTTGTTGCATTTCCTTGTCACTGGTGTTCTTGGTTGCATCTTCAAGCACCTTCCTTTGACGAAAATCAGCTTCTGTTGGCATGAACCCCTTAGCTTTAACCAGCTCCACAAACTCCTCCCTGTCTCTGCCCTCATCAATTCTCTCAACCAAGGCAAAGTAGGTCCCGGGAGTAGGCCGCAATCCCTTGTCCAACATCTCCACGATGTACTTCTTCGCAAACTCAATGAAAAAGGAGAAATTGAGGTTGCTTGGGGAGCAAGCAGCAAGTGCCTTGATGGTTACAGTATAGGTGTATTCCTTAGGGTTCACCCCGGTTTCTAACATGTACAAGAACACTTTGAAAGCATCATTGGTTCTTCCGGCATTGGCGTAGTGCTCTATGACTGCGGTGAGCGGGATGACATAGGGAAAACTGCCAGTATCTTGGTCCTGGGCCTTGATTTCAGCCACCATGTTACCGGATATGGCCACTTCGGAAGCCATCTTCACTGAATTCTCCAACATGGTTTTGTGCACCAACATCTTCTGGTAGGTTTGGTCGAAATCCGCCGGTTGGTGTTGCATATCGTCCAAACACTCCAAATCGGTGAGAGACAAGTTAACGAAGTTGGTGGTGACATTGTCGGCCACAAAGGAGAAGGCGGAGGAGGAGCTCCACCTCCTACGGAATTGATGACAACATTGATGATGTCTGTTAAAGTCTCGGTTGGCAGCCGCAGCAGAAGCTATAGGGGCTCTAAAACACGCTGCTTACTTGTAACGAGTCGAAAAGCCCGAGATAGCATCGCCATTGTTGATAAAGGTGAGAGCTTTGAGCAAGAAACAAAGAAAAAGGAGAGAACTTGTCAGCAAAAACAAAGAAAAACGAGAGAAATTGTGGCCAAAAACTAGGAAAAGGGGATAACTTTGAGTAAGCCCATAAAACCGCAATTCATAGAACAAACAAGATAATCTGAAGTCTGAAAGAAACCTAGAAAATAAATAAATAGACAAGAACAAGAAAAAAGAAACACACCTGATGGTTTACGAATGGATTTTCTTCTGCTGCTGCTGCTGCTGCTGCTGCTGCTCAGAGAAGAGAAGGCTGAAAGTTAAGAAAGAGAGAGAACTGGATACGAAATTATGGTTTTGATTAATTCTGGGTTCAAACATATGTAAGCTGGCCATAATCCCATAATTTTGATATTTGCCTCTTTAGACATTAAATATAATATGTCAAAATTAAAATATATAAACTTGATTTTAGTGGGCCCCATAGTTACATTAACTATCAAAAATAATTATACTTGATTTTAGTTTTGGATGGAGATCATCCCTACTTTCGGGATCCTCTAATTCTGAGCGTTCAAGTTCAACGCACCATGAACGGTCACGATTCAAGTATGTGGCTGAAGAAGAAGCGGATTGTCGGTGCTGGTGCAGTAGGTGCAGAGCTTCTATCTGGGAGGGGGTTCGAGATGGTGTAATGGGTTGTTGATATCGACGGACGGTGAATGCAGGCGAATTTGGTGTTGCGGCGATGTGGGGGCAACATGTGGATGCAACAGGTCAGATTAGTAGGTGGATGTTGCGATGTGAGGCAGCAGGTGGATGCAGGCGAGTCTGTTGCTGCAGCGACGTGGGTTTCCGACAAGTCAACGGCCAAGTCCAAGCATGATGGCGGTCGTGGGATTACGGGCTGCGCGCAAAATAACGATTTTTTTTTCTTTTCAAATCTTGACCATTCATTGTATATTGAACGTTCAGGATTAGTGGATCTCGAAGATCCTCAAGGAAAGGATCCGGATATGATCTCCGTCATTTACTTTTTATCCTATTATTAATGGCATCCGTGCATTAAAAATTAATATATTTGACTCCATCTTTGTTTGCTGTAAAAAAAACAGTTTGAAAGCAATGAGTCAAATAGCTACAGCGTCATCTATGACATCTCTATTAAGAACACCTGATGTCTTTTAGTTCTATTTTGTGTATTTGACATCTCCTTTATAGCACTTCCACCGGAAGCAAAAGAGGCCGGCACCCAGTGGAAAAAACAAGCTGAGACTCAGCCAATCCACTCCAGCCCGTGGAAAAGACTGGCATCCAACCCAAGCTAGTCCACAGGTCGGCCTAAAATCGACAGAGGAAGGAGACGGCTCATCTGACGTCTTGCTAACGTCATGGCTACAGTCTCTCTCATCTGGAACCCCATCCGACTCCTAGAATCCCATCCCGATCCCTGTAACCCATCTCAATCCCTGGAACCCCATCAACCCCCTTCCCCTGATAAATCCATATATTCAACACCATGTCCCCCTTCCAAATCATGATCTTCCTGCAACTCGGATCATCGTCGATCGGTTGATTAACTCGGATCTTCCTGCAACTGGAATTTTTTTTCCCGTTTTGTATATTTTCGATGAATTTTTGAATATGTAAGTGTTGATTTTTGGGGGTTTACGGTGTGCGCAGGTCCAGGATGGTGGGTGTCCATGTTCAGAATAGGGTAGATTCGACGACATGGTGTACAGAGAGGAGAAAAAAAGGAAGAAGAAGAAGAAGAAGAAGATGGTGTACAGAGAGAAGAAAAAACTAGGAAAAGTGGGAAGAATAAGAAGAAGAAGAAAAAGACGGGAGGGGTGTTAGAGAAAAGAAGTCAAAAAAAATTAAAAAAACCAAATTATTATTTTATAATAAAAATTAATAATATTTTAATAAAATTGACTAGGTTATTTTTTGTTAGGGGTGGAGATACTTTGGCCTATTACTGTTCACTGGGGTCTATTACTGTTTACTTAAGTGGATAAATGAGCTGGGTGCTGGTGCAAAGTCTTTAGGGGTGAAATTGCTCTTAGGGATGGTTTTAAGGTTAATGTTTTGAGTTAGCTTTTATGAGGAATAATATTTAGGTTTCTTGCTCCTTCTCAATCTAGGGTTGCTTGTTCAATTATAATAAATTTATTTCATGTGCCATTTAGTATTACGGTCTAGTGGTATTCCTCTTCACTTGTAAGTAAGAGGTCTTAAGTTCGATTAATTCATTGGTGCAAAGTCTTTAGGGGTGAAATTGCTCTTAGGGATGGTTTTAAGGTTAATGTTTTGAGTTAGCTTTTATGAGGAATAATATTTAGGTTTCTTGCTCCTTCTCAATCTAGGGTTGCTTGTTCAATTATAATAAATTTATTTCATGTGCCATTTAGTATTACGGTCTAGTGGTATTCCTCTTCACTTGCAAGTAAGAGGTCTTAAGTTCGATTAATTCATTCTTCCACTTACAAATAACATATTTTCATAGTTGAAATGTAAGAGGTCTTAAGTTCGATTAATTCATTCTTCCACTTACAAATAACATGTTTTCATAGTTGAAATTTATAATTGGAGCCGTTCAATTTATTAATCATCTTTGCAAGTAAGAGGTCTTAAGTTCGATTAATTCATTCTTCCACTTACAAATAACATATTTTCATAGTTGAAATGTAAGAGGTCTTAAGTTCGATTAATTCATTCTTCCACTTACAAATAACATGTTTTCATAGTTGAAATTTATAATTGGAGCCGTTCAATTTATTAATCATCTTTACAAACATAATTAAATTTTTCTGATAATCGCTCAGATAGACATTTCAGCCTCCCCCTCTGGCTTCGACACTAGCAACGGGCTTCGAACTCGAGACCTTCAATTTTTAGTTTTAAAGAAGCCTTGTAATTCGTCATTTACCACCGGATCACCAACTTGTGTTATAGTTAATCATCTCTAGTTATATACCAAAAGAACCATTTTTGTTAGCAATCCAATTGCGGAATAACGTAACCTTGCCTACACGGACTAGACTATACTTGGAAACCCCCACCCTCCTCACACACCAAACAACAAAATCTACTTTCCCCTCCAACGCCAAAGCCAACGCCCAACTGACATAACAAAACACCCAAGCAACGGAGGGCTTGAAAAGCAGACGAAAATGGCTTCGCCGGCAGCAAGGATCACCTTCCGCATAGTAATCATAGCTCTGGTTGTTCTCGTCCTTTTCTACATCGGCCGCCCTCTCTACTGGAAAATCTCCGCCACCATCCACGAGATCCGCCAAAACAGACAGACCGTTAAACAAGGTACCATTTTTTTCACTTCTTTTTTTTTTTTTCTTTTTAATTGCGATTTTTTTCTTCTAATTTTGTGTTTTGGGGGGCCGAATTCTGTTCAGGTATATCGCAGATTGTTCTGGAAGCTCAGAAATCGGTCGGTTGGTACCACGACGAGTCGGACTCGGGTGCCCGCGACTATCGGGCCGCGAAGAATGTCGGGTTGGCCACGAACCGGAGGCTGCTGCTCCGCCAGGTTTCGTGAAAACGCTTGATTTTTCCAAAATTTACTGCTTTGTAATAGTGAGGTTACGGTGGGTCTGTTCAGATCTGATCACATTTCGAATGAATCGGTTAAATTCTGTTGAATTAATGTGTTTGGGGGGATGAAATGCTTCTTCCTGAAACTACTAAATGTTAGAAAAGTTTGTACAACTGCAATGCTGGATTATGTATCGTTCTCGGAAAATATATAGAGTTCTACCCAGTTTAATTATATAGCTATATTGTTTTGATTAAGTTTGGTGTTGCCTTTGTGTTTTGAATTTCGGTATGCTTTTGAATCTGAAGTTAAAGGCGATGAATTTGATTATTCGTATGCCCTGGATTGACTGTTTGTGCATATCATTCGTGAATGTTTCTCTGCAAGTTGCTATGTTAGTTATTTTTCATCGTAGTCTTCAATGCCCAATAACTTTTGGTTTATGATCCAACAGATGATAATTATTCGAAACATAAAGGCAATAGTTCGCATTTGAGTATTAGTTGTTGCATTTTGATCCAATAGCGTGAATAAGAATGAGTTGTATGTTCCTTGATCAGTTAGAGTATTTAGGATTCTATGAATATGTCATTTCCCTAGTTGGTTTGGGTGCGAAGACTAATTTTCTAAAACAAGTACCCTTTTGGTCCAGAGGGCGAGCCTTAGTGCAACGGAAAGGTTGCTCCTTTGTGACTGTGGAACAAGCACTAGGTGTTAATATAACTACTATCATCAAAGTTTAGCAAGAAGGTCTATATCTTTCTTCAGGTTATTATGAGTCATGGACCGTGCTTAATGATGTAAAGCATCTCTAAAGGTTAAGTATACCTCAAAACTCCCTTGGTTTGGACTAGGCACCTTTTTGTTAACGGTTGCATTCAACCATTTTGTTTGCTAAACCGCGATTAGAAGCTTTCACTTCCAGCAGTAGACAAGTCCTAGTGTTGTTTCCTTCATGTGGGTTGCATGTGTAAACCAGGGAGGGAAAATGAGAATCGCATAGCAACGTTGATATCGGATGTTAGAACTTGTAAGGAGTTTTTTTGCAAGAATTCTTGTACATAGATGTAGATTTGTTGCGTAGAAACTGAGGAAGCCAGCAAGAACTTCCTAGTGTAGGTTGATTTTGATTAGGTAGCTGTTCTACCTGTATGGGCCACTACAGTATGCTGCATTACAATATCTGTAGATTGTGGCCCAACCAAAGTTTTGGTTCTTCCAACTTCCTTTCAAATTCAACAACCAAGGTGGCGTGTTCTTGCAAAGAATGGAACTGATTACTTTTTGGGGTTGGGGGGCATGCTGCCAGTAGTCTTAGAACTTGGTTAAGGTCAGCCGTCCAAGCGCGGTGTGATCATCGATCAAATTGGGTTCCACAGCTCAATGGGTAATGATTATATGATAATAGAGTTACCATGTGAGCGTGAGAGCGGGAGCCATGAGAGATCCAAGACTAATAAAATGGGCCAGACAGAGAAAGAGAGATTGGGAGTAATGGGACCTTGATTTTTTTTTTCAACACATGGCTTGGCTTTTTCTCATCATTTGAACATTTATGATTAATTTGACTGCCAAAGTTCATTAGGTCCCGATTGGGATTGCTTTCGTAAGAAATACTTTTGCTAATAAGTACCTATGACAAATTACTTGCATTACAAACTCTGTTGATATTTTTTATAAATTAAGTGTTTTCTCAAAAAATCACTTAGAAGAGCTTCTTGAAGCATTTGAAATGTACTTTCCGAAAAGCTTTCATATGACCTATGACTTGTATGGAACTGTTTCTTTAAAAAGAACTTATGTTCGGAAGTACTCCAGTAAAAGCACCCATTAGAAGCACATTGAACTATTTTAATAAAGATGCAAATGCTTCCTGAAAGCACTTAAGTCTTTCCTAAAAAAACATGAAGTGCTTTTTATTAATGCTTTTTAGCTAAAATAGTCCTTGAGATTTGTATAACTCCTCACTTTGGTCCTTGAGATTCAAAATCAATAGAAGTGGTCCTTGAGATTGTTCACCATCAATCATTTTGGTCATTTGGTGAAAAATTATGTTAAATAAAAAGCAAAATGACAAAATTACCCTCAAGTTAATAAACAATAGGCCAAAATAATGATTGATTGTGGACAAACTTAAAAATCAATTCTGTCGATTTCGAATCTCAGGGATCAAAGTGAGGATTTATGTAAATCTTAGGAATCATTTTGGCTAAAAAGCCTTTTATTAAAGCATTTGAGGTGCTTCCTAAGAAACACACAACATGTGTGCTTCTTCCAAAAAGAAAATGTTTTTTTAACCCAAAAATACTTCTACCAAGCATGGTGAGAAAAGCTTCAAGTAATTTTAAAAAGTACTTCCAAATTAACACGCCTTTATAAGTATTTTAAATTTTCTATCAAACATAGTTGAAAGTGTTTTAGTTGTTATAAAGCGCTATTAGCCTTTCCATAAGCAACCCCAAAACATGCCTAATAATCTTTGACTTCAACTACCTGCATCACAGCCCTTAAGCTTTAACCCTTTATTATTTTTTTAATACAAATGATGTTACTACTTTAATTTACACTATAGGGAGAAGGAACGGTTTTTAAACGCAGTTTGTTGAAAAGAAGCTGATATACATCCTATTGTGAATATTAAGACACATTAATGTGAGCATCACACTCTTACAAAATTGTTTTTTCCAATGGTCTAGTTGTGAGAGTTTAATGCTCACATTACTTTCTATTGGTATGTATTTAATAACTCAAGGTTACCTAAACAATTCGGTGGGCCGACCAATCTTATTAAAATTCATTCCCTTTGAACAATTCGTATCCATTGATTTTTTATTTTATTTAGTTATTTATTTTCAAATTTGTTTGTTATTTAATAAAACGAAACTGACATGCATGTTTTGGAGAGAGGATCCGGCAATCTTGGTGAGGATTCCTGAGATTCTTTGATTACATTCGTTTATTGTATATTGTACAATTAGTTTTTGTCAGGTACTGTTTATGTTCAATTTTGAATAAAAAAAATTACAATGATTTTTGACCATACGATATAAAATGAACATATGTGATTAAAAGAAACTTATGATCTTCACAAAAAAGATCCGGCGAGACCCTCCTGCCATGTTTTAGATAAATTATACATGCCCCTGTTATCACGATTACTTTTTTCCCTAGCTTGTTGACTATTCTGCGCAGATCTTATGCATCTTCAAGGTCATAGCCTTCCATTTGGCGTTCATACACACATGCCTGCACCATATTTGTCCCTTCTTTACATAAAAAGAAATGAAAACAAAATTGAATGGTCACGGAGAAACCCATAACCCATGCATTGACTTTGACTTTTCTTAGTTTTATATTAAATTCCAACCATCGAGGGTTGAAGTGTACACGTGATCCAATTATTTTAAATTATTTCTTTAATATCGACGATCTAACGATAAAATATTGTCAGAACAATAATTAAATATTGACAATATAACAATCATATACGATAATATACTAAAAACTAATCATCTCAGCAAATAAGATTGAAAATTAATCATTTTAGTCAATTGTCCGAATCAAATTTCCATGTGCAGATGAAACCATCATTGCTCACCACTTTCTTTGATGAGCAGTATTTAATTTGATTTTCTACATCAATGGAATGGATTAATTTGCGATCAATCTAGAAGAGTTGAAGTGGATTGGTTAAGTTTTATAATGTTTTAGGGTTATCTATTAGTAGAAATTGCAGTGAACACCTCGAGGTTATGGAGCAAGAGCTATATGAACACTAGCATGTGTTCTTGCTTTTACATGTGTGGGTTTGACTTTGTATTCTCACCTTAATTAAACTACCCATTGAAAAATTCATTTGAATATAAATATATCCTTAATTGATCTATCCTTGAATCCTACAACTTGGCCTCTAAAATTTTCTAGATTAAATTTGAGATGTTGGGAAATAAGATCTTTAGAGGATCCTCAACCCTTATCTTCCAATAGCATTCACTAACTTGACAATTCAGTTGACTTGTGTATAGTGGCGAAGCCACTTGAGGACTAGGAGAGATCCGGGCCTATCTTGAAGTTTCTTCATTTTTAGTTTTTGTTTGTGTGTTTTTGATTGGATACTTTGTATTTTTTGATTTATGTACTTTTCCTCCCAGCTAACTTTATTATATTTCTCTAGTTGACCAAAAAAATGTGTTTTACAATAGTATTGTTATGAAACCAAATCCTTATATCAACTAGCCTTCTTTAGTTAGTCACCCTTTTGCATGATTTGTTGAACAGTGAAACCATGCATATATGGCATAGAGGAAGAAATTTTTATCAGTTCGGTGTAGTAATTTTTCTTCAATTTCAATTTAGGAACTTATAAAGAAGTTCAGTGCTTATGATATAATTATCTCAATCTTATCTTTTTTTCACGACTCCATTCCTCTCTTTTGATTAAAATTTTCCATTCCACTACAAAAATGAACTTTTCTCACATTAGTTATATTATTTTTTGTCCAATTTCTTTCCTATGGCTTAGAGGCCCCTACTAGCTTCAATTTCTAGCTCTGCCACAACTTGTGTATAAAACCTTAGATGATTGTTATTTAGACTTTCTCAAAAACAAGTTTAAGTGAAATTTGTTATAGGAAAACTTTGATTCTGGTCCCTGATTGACAAAAATCATACATTGAAATTTTATCAATTTAAATACTTTTCTAAGAGAAATTTAAATACTTTATTTAAGGACAAAATTGTTAAATTTCAGTATTAATTAAGAAATCTAATAAAAAAAATTACTAATCCTTCCTAAAATCATGCAAAGATTAATACCAAAAAGGTTTTTTTTTCTTCTTAAATTTGAATTGTGTGAAATCTAATCAGATTTTTTATTTTTTCAAAATTAAAATGTTTTATTTGTTTTTCAATATTGGCACTTTTTAAATTAAAAATGTACATTTGATTATAAAATATAGGTACATTATAAATAGAAGGCCTAATTGGATAAATGGTCCCTGTGATGATAAGGTAATCGGAAGATAGCCCTCGTGGTAAAATAATTAGGATTTAAACCCTTATGGTGTAGTCTGTTAGCAAATTTAGTCCAAAAGTTAGATTTTCAGTTTAATGCAGGGATAAAAATATATTTTAACTCATTCTTTCTTTCTATTCACATTTTCTCTTCAAGTGTGGCGAGTTTGGAAACATGACGAAGGACTGCTATCAGGAGGTGGAAGCTATGGTGGCGGAGG